TTAGGGGGGTTTTCCCAAAGTTGAGGTGGTTTAAGAAACAATACATCTCCATACATGGTATCCATTGACAAATACGCTAAACAGTCACTTGAAGGAGAGGCAAAACCAAAAATACAAATGAAATCACCTTCAGAACGGGTGGTTGATCATGCTAAAAGTGAGTTAGAGAAAAGACCAAAAAGCTTAAGCAGAGGAAACATTCCCGTGAGAAATCGACACGCAAATGAGGAGAACTCCGAGAAGAAAAAAAAATTGTAAAGCTTAATGAAGACCTTTTTTGGAGTTTTTTGTTTCCGAAGCAAAATTTTCATTTATTCCAAAAACCCCTCAGAGTACCTGAAAATAAGGATTTGCCTATGAAATACCTGATTGTCTATTGGTAAGTAACAGTCAAGGACAATTTAACCCACTTTTTTTTTGTCCCCACCATGGAAAAGTTGGGGCATCAGTGTTAACCCTTTCTCTCCATCATTCCATGTTGTCAGGGGTGACATTAAATGTCAGTGTTATCAGCGGAAACGTTTAGGGAAACAATGCCAAGTAAATTTCTCTGTTTGATATGCCACCCACACAGACAGCCGTTGGAAACAATTACTTTCAAGATGTGCGACCTTTTCTCAGATTTCAGACAGATCACCAATTGAATATCAATAATCAGCTCAAAATGGAATGGACTATATTGACCTCAAAAAAACCGGATTTACATCAAGCCAAAGGTCATGAATGGAGAAAATGCATTAGAAGCTGCAGATATAGTTGGTGCTGTAAACTTGTTACTGCAGTCGTTTTTCAGTCAAGTTGATGTTTCTTTAAAAACGAACCAACAACCAGTTCCGGCGCGCATTACCCATACTTAATTAAGCATGTTAAATTTTTATTCACTACGGAAGTGACACCAAAAATTTGCAATTCACAGTTGTGAAAAGTTGTGTTTGATAAAAAAAAATTCCTTATCTTTATTTGTGAATCTTTATTGTGACGTCATATGACATTAATAAACATGGGTTTGTTTCCATACCAGTTAAAAAATGAACAATTTACATTCATTCGACAGTGTTTCTTACACTGCGACGGGGGTATATGATCAAAGTAAAATATCTGACTTTTTTTACATGTATTTGCTCGGTCAATATTTCAATGAGCTAAAAATATTAATGATCGAGCTCAAAATATTCTTTCTCATTTGACCACCGTCAGAATGGGAAAGATTGACATTTTGGCCGTGGGTTGCAACAATGGGTTATGTATAATCTGTCTTGATACCTTGTGGATTAACTACAAAAACTGCATCTGCAGATTCTCAATAAAAAAAAATTCATTTATTTCTTATTCAATTGTAAAAATTGACCTTTTAATATCACATGGGTTTAACATTTTTAAAATCCTTAATCGCTCAGAATTTGAGCTTTTAATTTTTTGTAACACTAATCTGTTTCACATCATCTTTACCATTTTTATTTAATCTGTTTAAAAAAAACACTGTTTACATACCCTCTGAGTGGTTGTGGGATTACTGATGATCTATTGGTTCCTTGGATTACGACTTTTCCATTTAAAGCATAATAATTTCGCTGAAATATTCACGGGACCCCAATAAATTTCATCTGGATTTGACAAAAAATTTCAGCATGTTCATGTCAATCACTTTTCCATGCCTACACGTTGGACACACAAGGGCTACTCCACCTATGAAATCGCATCACAAATAGGATAAATCATCGCATTTAAGCTGTAATCCATATCAAATAATATGTTACGATAACTTCGCAAGATGAATATATAGTCATTTACTCCCAACTTCCACCTTGTCGCCATTTTGTTTCTATACGATTGCAAAACGACATTCTTTAAAAATCGCTATTTTTTTCGTTAAAAAGTGAAAACAGATAAAGAAAAGCCATTTAATACAAATTACAAATAAAAATCACTCCAAAAATTATTTTTAATGGCTTAAAATAGCGATGCTGTTTTTGAATTATCCACTTCCGGCAGGATAATCCTATTTCCGGTAGCATTACTAGCATTGACCTAGTTTCAAACCAGCATCAGGATAAGGATCAAACCAGGATCAGGATAAGCTGGGATAACTAGCGTCAAAATCAGCAAGCAAAGGAAGCATCAAAATCAGCATTGATGCTGTAAAAAAAAATTTTCCCTGCACTGTAATATACATCGGGTTCGATATCTGATTATTGAATTTGCTGATTTTCGCGTGATTACAGGTAGAAGGAAATAGTACAACATTTTTTGCCACACTTCTTGCTATAATTTTTGGATTTTCTTCCGTAAATAGCTTTAATTTTTATCAATGTTCAACAATGACTACAAGATGGTATGTGACTAGAGCTCGGGGTTATATAGTGGGTTCCCCTTACTATAGAGAAGTGTGTTTTAATTTTTTGACGCATCATCAGCCATTGATTTAAGCTGCAGTTATTCTGTCCGCAGGATTTTCATTGCGGAATGTGATGATGTTTCACAAATCTTGAAAGAATTCTAAGATCGAGTCATGTTGTGCAGGTGTTTTGGGGATTTGAAATGTGAATGGTATTTTTCTTTCATATCTGTGTATATTGTTCATGTGTGACATTCTACATGTTTTCATTTTGTTACTGTTATTTCTTTAGGACTTTCCCCTTTTGCCTTCCCTCTAGCAGAAGGTTCTCAAATTGACTCAAGATTAAACCCCAATACCGCCAAATATGGCTGAAAAATTGCCACTCCTTAAAAAATATAAAATCAATCAACCCCCCAATAAAAATCCCCATTAGGGGAAAGGGTTAAAGGGTTTAAATTTTCAACCCTCACTAACTATCAACTAACTGCATTTATTAGTAAAATTTATTTTCACATTGTGTAAATATTTTTGTGGCCATGTGTTTGTATCTGTGTATTTTGTTTATCATTTAATTTAGTTCGTGTCCCCCTAGCCTTCCAACTAGCTTCTCACCAAGATAACCACCACCACAAAAAATCCCCCCGGGCCCGGACGTTAAGGTTAGTGTAAAGGTGCTTCAAAATTTAAATTTATTACGAAATGATTTTAATTTTTTTAAAATAAATTATCTATTCATTTGTTCAACCATATCGTTAATCTAAGAATGTAAAGGTATTACATTTATTTTTAAGTTTCAAACATTGGTATTATATATATCTCTTAATTTATCTTACCTACATTATGCAATTGTTTATCAATAGTCATAACTCAGTGTTAGCTGCAAATATAGAAAAAGATAATAGATTGGTCATGAATTGCGTTATTATGCAACTTTTTTATGTTTCAACCATCTAAGACTACCAAAAATGTTAAAAAGTGCCTTATAATCTTATTTCTTTTATGATTTTTCTAATAAATTTTAAATATTTCAGCCACCTCCGACAGCGGGGGATCAACATCGACTGTGGATACAACATCACTACGGATACAGCAGTAACCATTCTTATAAGTAAATATTTATCCATTTCTTCTGTTTGTTTGTCACTCATTACAATTATTATAACAATAACTTTTTAAAGAGTATTGCATATGAAAACAAAACCAGTCTTTAAATAGTCCAATTTATATACTGGATCAGTACTTGTCTTTCACTTTACTCTTTTGATTCAGAAGGTTATTTTAGACCACACACTGATGAATTATATGAGGGTTTTTTAATTTTTTTTTTCAGCTATTTCAGTTTTTCAAGTATTTTGTACTTGTATTAATTATGATAACTATTTCTTGGTTAAAAAAGACAAGACACCATAATATGTTGTATCCAATATATCACGATCAATATCAGGTGGAAATAAGAGATGACCAATTATAAATAACACAACATCATTTTTTTTTAATTTTGAGACATTTCTATTATGATATAGAATTATGCATTAAAATTTACTTCCAGTGATGTCCCCATATCATTCTGTTGTTTGCGTTTTTTGCAGTATTTTCTGTGGTTTCCTGTGTTGGATGTTGTTCAAGTGCTAGTTCGACGCTTTATTAGAAATCTGTCCAACAAGACCATTTAGAAAACATAGAAAATGTTTATTCCAGTTATTCAATAGGAAAAATGATGAATAAATCTCCTTATAATTTGCATGTGTAGGTATATAGTTATTTCTGTAAGATCAGAACATGTTAAAATTTTAAATTCTTCCTAACTACATGTAATATAAAACTAGAAGACTGGAATATTTTTAGTAGGTATAATTGGACTTCTCACCTATATTTGAAAGCAAATTGCTATCATAAGAAGAACTGTTAATAAACTTTTAAGAACTCAAAATGCTATTTACATGAAGATCGTTTACTTAGTGAATCTTGTTATTATTGCTCAAAAGTGGGCATTGTTCTTGACAAATGTTCCTCTTGGTTAGTTGACAATAGATTGAAAGGTAAGACATCTAGGTAAAACAAATTCTATTTTATTTGGTCCTCCAAGAAAGCTTCAAAGTATCACAGATTTAAAAATTGTGTGTAATGGTCACATTATTAAAGGTTCTGACAGTGTTAAATATTCAGGAATCTGTATTGACAAGTTTCTTTCATGTGAAAATATTGTTTTAAGTTTCATACAAAAAGTTAAAGCTAGACTTAAGTTTTTATATAAAAATGCACCCTGTCTTGGTACACATTCTAGAAAGACCCTATGTTCTGCCTTGATACAATGTTATTTTGACTATGCCAGTTCTTTTTGGTATTGTGGAATAAACAAACAACTTACACAGATTACAAGAAACCCCGAACAAAGTAGTGCGGTTCATTTTAAACCTTAGATTAAGAGAGATTATTTCTGTTAATATTTTACCCTTTTTAAATATGTTAAGAGTGGAGGATAGAGCTAAACAATTTAGATTAAATCATGTTTTATTTCAATAGAATAGATCAACAACACAGTATTGACAGTCTTTGTCGTGGCTTTACTTAAATAATACATGTTGAAATGAAATTTGACGAACACTATATCAAATCAGTATATCATTGCATTATGTTATATAGGTGATCTACATCGACACAATAAACAACATATCAATCAACATTTTCAATCAATGAGTTTTTCAATCAGTCAATATGACAATCAATCAGTTCATCAATGTTTTCAAGCACTCAATGTATTCCATAAAAGTGTCAATTAAAATAAGCCCAATTATTGGCCACAGACCTGGAAGAAAACAGAATCAGTGGCAGGCTTAAGCAAAATTCGGCCATATGTCTTCATGTATGATAAATAGATTAATATTTACATGAAGACATCCGCCACAAGCGGACAAAATTCTGCCCTAGTACCATGACAGGGAGACTGTTTTTACACAGAGGGAGGTGGAGGATAAATACTGGCGTTATAGCGTTGACGTACATAGCTGTAGACCTGCAAAATTGGTATTCCGTTATATATACGGCATGTTACAGGTATGATGATAACCGTTACAATCTAATGTAAGAATTGAATGCATTAGACCTCCACCTACCTTTGGACTTAATGTCCTCATCAGAAACACCTTGTGAGTATAAATGAGTAGCCCCACCTATTCTGAATGAGTGTGATTTGAATATAGATGTGTCTAAACCAATGAATTTCACGGCTTTGTGTAGGAGTGATGTGAACTGATATTTGGTGAGAGGTTTAGCGTTGATATGGCAGAATAATGGGCCCATGCTCAAATAAAGATGCACTTTGAGGATTGTATGTAATTTGTAATGTGGTATCCCTACGATATTGATCATTTTTTGAACCTTTGATAAACAAAGAAATTTTTTCTTCATCAATGGTGAAGTCTTGGGAAAATAGTACTGGTGTAAGGTTACTGGTGAAAGCAAATTCACTAATATGCAGCAGTGCAAAAAATGCTAAATAAAAAGCAGTTGAAAACATTGTGGCTTCACAGGTGTTTAAAAAAAAACTCTTGGAAGAATTGATACCATTTGATGCAATATTTGTAGGGAAATTAGGGATCTAAGGTCTTTTGCTGGATTTAGCCTTCAAGCCTTCCAACATTTTCTTAACTAGAAAGGCTTTAGTGTTGCCCAAACCCCCCTCTAACTGGATTTTGTAACTGATACCACTTAAGTAACATCTTGCTGTGGCATGTGATATATGGTTTGTATGGAGGTATGCAATGTTATTAATAATCTGATGGACTGGTGGAGGCCAAGTCAAGGCAAAATTATATTTAGAGCGGAAGGTTTCAAAAGAGTTAATGCCCTTCTGATATGTTGAAGCAGTATTTAAGATACTGCTGCTTCGAGCAAACTTTCTACACGTCGTTTAAGAGAGTTATCAATGCCGGAAGTATAGTGACTGGAATCATGTCTGCCTGAGGAGCCAAGTTTCTGAATCTTTCCCACTGAAATCGAGAAATTGAATCCGCGATAGAGTTTTGATAACCTGGAACATGGATAGTTTAAATCTGAATGTTATGCCTAATGCAAAGCAATATCAATGGCCTTAAAAGTGTCATGACCCTTTGAGACTTGCTTGTTTGGGTATTAAGAATATAAACCAAAGCAATGTTGTCGGTATTTATCAATAATTTCTTTGCTGCAAAATAATCCGCCCAAACCCAAATAGCCAACAGAATTGGTACTAGTTCTAAAAAGGTGATATCTCTTCGAATATCTGGGCCCCATGATTCTGGCCAGGAAATAACTGCCCAGTGATTCTGAAAAATTGCACCTCCACCATAGGAACCGAAATTATCGGTAAAAAGGTTAAGGGACTCGTTACTTGACCAGGATAGTTCAGGGAATGGAGAGCGCCCGTTGTAGTCTTTAAAAAATGTTAGCCAAACCTTAGAGTCATCCTTAACGGCTTGGGTAACCTTTATCAAAAAGTAATGTTTCTTAATGCCAATTGTTGCATTGTAAAACCTGCAATTAAATGCTCTGCTACCTGGGATGGCTTTTGAAAAAAGTTTAGGGACCCACAAAGTGATTCCATTTCCTTGAGTGTTACTTTTTTGGATGAAAGCAGTGAGGTAAGCTTATACTGTAGTTCTATAGCTTTGTTGTCAGGAATAAAGATTACCTGTTCTACTGTGTCAATCCCTAACCCTAGGAAACGCAATCTTGTACAGGGACCCTCGTTTTTTTTTTTTATCATTTATTGGGACGCCTAGTTCGCCACAGGTTAGCTTAAATGTTTCAGCGAGTTGAGAACATTGTGGAGTATTTTGACTTGGAATAAAAAATCATCTAGGTAATGAATAATGTTTTGATTTTTGGCTTTTTGTGCTACTAACCAGTGCAGGAATGATGAGAATTTTTCAAATGTTGAACAAGCTATGGAACAACCAAATGACATGCTCATATCATAATAATATTTGTCTTCAATACACATACCTAATAAGGAAAAATCTGTAGGGTGGATTGGTAATAATCTAAATGCACTTTCAAATCCATCTTACAGAGAAATGCCCCTTTCCCATTTTTTTGAATCATGGAAATTGCTTGGTCGAAAGAGCTGAATTTGTTCATTGATACTATTACCGATTGGTGCCGACAGGTTTGAAATCAACCTCCCCCCCCATCTTTTTAGGCAACACTCCGACCGGGTTGCATCTAAGGTTGGAGTGGAGGGGGGGGGGGGTAGGGAAAGGGTCTGCCATGCGACCTAAGCTTATGTCTTTTTTAATAATTGACAATAATTCTTGCACGTGTTCCTTAGCAGACTTCATGTTTTTTGGTTGTAAATAGTCTTGAGGGCCTGCATAATTCAGATAAAAACCAGATGTAAAACCATTGAGTAACAATTGGGCATCTTGAACTTGAGGGTACAAAGCTAGGTATTTCTGTAATACTGGGAGCTTAATTGGAGTAAAACCTAGGCGTGTTAAATCTTGGTGTTGGTGACTGGTATTGCCTTGGGCGATAGGGACGAAAATTCGAGGAAGATTGATGGGCATAATTTTGCTGTCCTGCAGTTGGGCGAGTTAGATTTAATCTTGTGTTAGACTGTTGGTAGTTGGTATTAGGCATTGAAGATTTAGTAAGTGTAGACTAGTAGGCCAAGCAGTGTACACGTGGATGGGTCTTGTTACAGTGCATGCATGCATGTTGATAAAAACACTGTGATTTGGAGCATGAGCCTTTGAGATTGTAATCAAAGCATTTAATTGATGCATTTAGTTGTGGAGCATTGAGGCTGGGTTGGGCCTGCATATATTAGCAACAACTCTGCGTCGACTGAGCCAAGTGATGTATTTTTGGACATTTTGAGACGGAACTGTCTGTCATATTCAAGCCAATTAGCATTTGTGTTTCGGCTGTAGCCTAGGCGCACTGTGTGTATATATTTCAATATGCCCTGAATATCTGAAGGATGCCTAGCTAGGTATATACTAGCGAATATCAAAAAGACATCAACCCAACTTTGCATTGTAATGATTTTGGTTGTTTTGGTTTTTGGTTCGATGACCAATTGCCCTTCAACAATTGAGAATTTATGTGTATCTTGATTATCTATTTCTGAAATAATAACTTTTGCCAAATCAATATATTGCTTTGACCAATTTTTTTCTTTGATGGCCTGGGGGACATGAACCCCAAGCTCATCCGTAATATTAATTAAAGGGTTTTCACCTGATGTCAAGGATTACTCCGTTGTAATATCCCCTATAGAAAGTGGATAAGAGGTTGCCACTGAAGGGTTCGGAGTTCACGCTAGCTGAATGAGGGACTTCAGGAAGTTGTGGGACTTCAGGAGGATTAAGGGTTGCCACCGATGAATTAGCAGTCTGGCTGGCTGGCTGTGACACCTGGGTTGCCGTGATCACGGGGGCCGTGTCTGCAATGGACCTTTCAGTTGGGGTCCTGACAGGCCTAGCATAGGGTGACTTGGATTTTCTTTTGCTACATCGCAACATTCCCTAGGAATTCGTAAGACTAATATATTTACTGTTATAACATGCATGGTAGCCTAAGGCTAGCTAAGCGGGCCTGCACGGGCCCGACGAATATTACCGTTGGGTAATATTATAAAATCATGAAGTGCAGGTTTTACTGTGTTTCAAAATCATTATAATTCATTATAATTGTAAATTCTTATTCGTAAACAGAAGAACCTTAAGTTTTCTTTAAAATTCAAACAAACCATGCAACAATGATGGCGGCAAATGCCGAGAGGATGATGGTGGAGCTGGAATCTGTTACCAATTTTACAAGCCTAAATGACGTCAACCAAATCAAAATAAATAGAAGTAAGTACGTACCGTTGCTTTGATGACCTAAATACTTTAACAAAATTATAGAATGGCTAATAAAGTTTGAAGGATTCCTTCGATGGTAGTTAGTTTTGTTGAATTTTGTTGAGAAGAATTTCCAGAAAGAATTTGCAATTGGCGCGCGCGTAGTATATATGCTGGTAAAAAGGGAGATGGTGTCAAAGTTTAATGATTTTGAAGGGTAGTGTCAAAAGTCAATGATGTTTAAATGTTGCAAGAGTTATGCCTCTTTATCTATGTTATAAAAGTTTATCTACTCATTTCTATAATACAACTTAACTCATATTGAGTTAAGTTTGATTAATATATATCATGGTTATGCACCAGCTTACCTCCATGAACATTTTGTATTAAATAATATCACATGAAGTGCAACAAATAAGAATTTTATTATACCAAAGATAAAAGGGAAAGAGTCTTCATGTTTTTTATGCGCCCAGATCGATAAATCCCGGGCGTATATTGTTTTTGTCCTGTCTGTTTATCCGTTTTTCTTTCTGTCTGTTGTCAACTTTAACCTTTGCCATAACTTTAGAACCATAAGAGACAGGGACTTAGAACTCTCTTTCCAGAGTAGCGCAGACAATAAGATAAGACATGTAAAGTGACCTTTACTGTATTTAAAGCTTGTTTTGATGCAGATCTAAATTGTGAAAGACAGTGGTTCTTTTATTGTTTGCACAAGAAGTAATGGCATTTACATAAAAATATTTGATCAACTGACACAGCTCATTTCTTCCCTTTCAGATTGATATTTGATATACTTCGACTATCTTAACTAGGTGTTTCTCGCTTTGTTTACAAACATAAGTAATGTTCTACCAGGTATATATAAACACTTCATCACTAGTTATCGCGGGAAAATTGCACTGGTCATTAGCATACTGGATCAGCGCAAGGATTAGTTTATTTATATACCACTAACACGTCAGTCTTGTAAAAATAACCTCGTTTGTACAATATTTAATTGTGTAAATTTTCTTTCAAAATATATTTTCAAATTATTTAAAATAAGTTGAAATAGTTGAAAATACTAGTATTCATTGACTTAGCAGTCAAAACTCTGTTTGCACAATATGTCACAATTTTTGACTGCATGCATGCCCCTTGCACTATTTTCTCTCGCGGATTGACACAAATTCCAGAAAAATAAAATAATAAGTATTTAAATTTATAAACACTTCAAATCATATCAGAAAACATATTCTTATTCTGTAGCACATGAATATTGTAAATAAGCCAATATTATACAAGAATCTGTATGCAAAATACTCAAACGAAAACGTGATTAGCTTCGATTCATGGAGAATCCCTTACCAATAACAAAACTTGAGTTGATGCCATCAACTCGTAAAAACCACATTACCTGGACAAAAAACCTTGCCTCCTCTCAGGGAACAGACCATAATACTAATGGGTCACGCACCTTGGATTAGGTACTCGTGACACGTGATAACCTTGTACTGATTGGGAAGAATAACCCAGAGAGTACTGTTTCCCATGACTCCATTTCCCTTTGATAATTCCGAGTACGCATTGGCCATTTTGACTTCAAAGACTCTTTAGAAGTTTAATTAGTTTTTATCAGGAAGAGTATTTAATCTTACCTGCACAATTTACTCATTATTAAGAGCGAGTCTACGAGAAAATCATGCAAAATTAAAAATTTGTTACACTAGTCACATTTTAAAAAGATGATTTTAAATACATTATTTTGAAGAGAATGGACCTATATAACTATTGTGAAAAAAATTTTAACAAAGGTGTCCTCCTAATCGAGATAGCCCCGAATCTATTTATAGCCCACTGGTGGGCTGGATTTCAAGGAAAAATAGCACTTTTATAAGCCCTTCAAAAAAATAAAATGAATCAATGTTGAAAAATTTTGTGTTTTATGTTGAATTTATAAGTATAACTTTTTGTTTGTAGTGGAATTTTGTTTACCAGATCTTATTAATTTGGGAAATTCAAAAGGTTTTATAAAAGAAAATTCACTTGACTTTTTATATCTCTATGAGAAACGCAGTGCTGTGTTTGATACAACGGGTGAACTTTTGTTTATAATTATCTATCTGATTTATTTAGTTATTTTACACAACATATTTCAAGGAATTTCTTGGATTTACAATGAATCTCGAGATATACACG